TTTCAATATAAGGTGGTGAGCGGGAATGACAGAAGCACCAGGCAAGAGGGATCAGCTCTGCCCGCTGTGACAGGATGGCTAGGTGAGTGGGGACAGATTATGTAAACCGTGTGGCAAAGGGTGCGGCAAACGGAGACCTTCTGGGTGACTGTGTTGTCCTCCTTCACTGACCTGTAAGCTTTTTTCATTCAAGGACTGGATGCCCAAAGCCAGACTCCTAGCAGGGTCCTTATAGTGGTAGAGAAATTTTTTTTCAATTTTTAAAATAATAAATTGTTTTCTAGGTACATAGAAAAATTTAAAGACTTAAATGAACACCCATTGACCATCTAGATTTAACAATCAGAATAAGTAATGTGTGTAACACATCATAGTTTATAAAGCCTCTTGCTTAAGTTACCAAATTGCAAATGAAGCTCTCATTGGTGAGCTGGTAGAAGACCTATTCAGATCCCATTACTGCACCACCTCGACAGGTCACGGTCACCCACTGAACCCCACTTTGGGAAGCTGGCCTCCTCTCCCTTGGTTTCCGTCCTGCTCAGGAGTTTGTAGGTTGCCCCAGAAATCAGTTTACCCTCAAGCACTGTTACAAGTATGTTTCTCAGTGGTAGATTCTTTGCCTGAAATTCACTTGGAACTTGAATGCTTAGCCCCTCAAAGTCTCAGATATCTTCCTTAAAATTCAATATACTGGGGGCAACGGAGAGTTCATGTCACAATGGGATCCATTATTCTCAACTCCAGATTAACACAGGAACTATCCCATGATCTTCCCAGCGGTTGTTTCCATTTCCTCAATAGCAGATATGTATCATATTTAAATACTTCACAAACATCCTTTATCATGATGGTTGGGGGAATAGGATTGATAGTACCTTAGAGGCCAAGGTAATTATAAAATACTTTTTTAAATTATATTTTTCTTTTTATAAAAAATACATATTGATTTAAGAATCACAAAATTATGCAAAAAAATGAATGTAGTAGTCTTAGTGGACAGGGTGTGGGCCAGCAGAAGGTCTACCTTGGACTGCCAGTAGTGTATGGGTTCTTCACTTTGTGTAGGAAAGATTTCACGACACGAATCCAGGTGGTTTTGAAGGTATGTTTATTAAAGCCAGGGACAATGAAACAAAGGAAGAGCTTAAGGTAGAAGCAGCAGCAGGACAGCCTAGACAGGGCTGCTTTGGCTCACTGAGAAGTAAAAGTCATAGTGACAGAAGTGAGCCCCCTGGGAAGTCAGAGACAAAGAGTGCCTTGCAGACAGGTTCAATGGGGTAAGCTCAGGACGAGCTGCTGCTGCCTGCTGCTCCTCTGATTGCAAGTCTCGTGGGGGCCCTTAGAGTTTAGGAGGAAAACAGCAGAGATACAAGGCATGGGTGAGAGAGCAGGCACACCGTGTGTCTTTTGTCTTGAGATTTACCTTCTTTGGCTGGCTGGAATCCTAGGGTCTTAACAGAATATTCATTAGGTTTTCAGGTGTATCCTTCAATATATTAATTCATCAAAATGTGCATATAGAGGGGTCAGGGGTAATTTTCCAGTTAGTTTCATTTTTAAAGAACATTATCAAGAACAACACTGAAGAGGGACTTGGGACCTAGGCTATTCTGTCCCAGAAAAGTCTGGAATGTGTAAAATATTTGCTCCTAAGTGTCCTTGGTTAGGGAACTTACAATCTTGTGATTCATTAGCTGGCTGTAAATTGCTCAAATCCTCTGGACTTGTTTAATTATTTTGTCTGTTTTCCTTATTCCATTTGTCAAGAAATTTCCCTGGCTTCTCACTATCCTGCCCCAGTAGAAAGCGAAACTACTGATGACCAGGAATGGAGTAAGGCTAGGATATCTCAGCTGTGCATTACTTAGGAATAAGAGCAGAGTTTGCACCCTTTGCAGCAGCTGCATTGGATGTAGATTTGTCATGTTGCCCCTAAAAAGGGCACACACAAGTCCCAGAGGTACAAGAAATAAGAGTTCAACACTCCATTCTAATTGGTAAATCAAAGATTTAAAATGCACCCCAAGAACTATAATCCTATTTTCACATTTCTTCGTTGTAAAAACTCACTGGAGCCTAAAAAAATGAAAGCTTCATGAGCCTCTCTTTACCTTTCTCTTACCAGTCTCTCTTTACATTTCTAAATGCCTGTGACATCAGAACATCACTTTTCAATAAGTCCCTTCCTCAGAATTGCCCATTGCAGAAGATGTCATTGCAATTGCAAAAGAGGCTGGAAAGCCCAGCTTCCTATCGGATATCCAGTCTGTCATAGGTGATTTAGTCTCAGTTTAGAAGAGCTTCCTGGCCAGTCAAGACCCAAGAAACACAAAGGATTCTGCAATCATCACATAATTTCATCATTCTGCGTCAGCAGTGGGAGGTTGCTGTTTTCCAAAATCTTGTACTGGTCCTGGTCCCAGAAATACCCCAGTCAACACCCTGCTGACCAACCTGACAATTTCACAATCTGACATTTGCATCACAAATGTGCATTTTAGGGAAAATGTTGGGTTGGTGGTTATTTTTTCAGCAGGATCCAGAGAAAAGAATGTTGTCAGCTGTCAAACCAAAAGCACTGGTTACTCTGTAAAATACAAAGCATGTAAGCCAATTGAACAGTAAGATAAATTCAATCAACCAGAACTCATTGAAGCCTTGATCTCAGGCTGGTCACACACAGGGTTGTTTATTCAGCCAGGCATCAGAATGTTGTCACTGGGAATGGTCAATAAGGCCCATTTTGCGCTTCAGTGGTCAGCTAAAAAAGGTGACATTTAAAGATGCATAGTAAAATTATCATACAGGCAGACAGTGTTGCAAAGTGACTAATAGAGTGGGTTTGAATCCCGGCTGAAGGCAAGTTACTAAGCCACTAATTCTGTCTGTAAATGGGGTGATGAATCCTGCCATGAAGAGGAGCTACAGAAATTCTGGGAGAGAATGGATATAAAACAAGCTGTGCTTTATAGAGTGAGCACTGTTAGAAAGTACCTACATTACCAATGAAACATCTGTAAACCAAAAATGTCATAAGAAAGACAAAGGTTAAACCAAAATATGGATTGTAAGTCATAATCTAAGTGGTAGAAATATCACCATTTTGCAACCACCACTTTAGCAAATGATTTAGGAAAGGATCATCAATGAATACTAAAACTATGGGATGAAAAATGGTGGGAGAACCAGACATTTCTGCACAGATTACTACTTAATTACAAAGAAAAATGTCCCTTTACAATGGAGAGATCTCAAGGATGCCCGAATGGACCCTGACTCTAATAATGAGGAAACAATTACACAAATCTAAACTGAGAAACATTCTGCTTCAGATAGAACTTTTTAAAAACATTAATGTTTTGAAAGAATCAAAAAGAATAGGGCCCTGGCTGGTGTGGCTCAGTGGAGTGAGTGCCAGCCTGCAAACAAAATGGTTGCCGGTTTGATTCCCAGTCAGGGCACATGCCTGGGTTGTGGGCCAGGTCCCCAGTAGGGGGAGTGACAGTCAACCATACACTGATGTTTCCTTCTCTTTCCCTCTCTGTGGAAATAAATAGATAAAAACTTAAAAAAAAGGAGCAGGCAAGTGTGAAAGTGTTCTAGATGAAAGGAGACCACAGGGACATGACGATTGAAAGCAGTGCATGATGTCCGACTGGGCCCTAGGCTGAAGGAAAAAGTCATCAAGGACATTATCAAGACAACTGGGGGAATTTGATTTAACAATGTTATATTTCCTGAGTGTAATGACTGTATTCTGATTATTTGAAATAATAGACTTGCATCCCTGTTCATAGTATTTAGGATATCTGGAGTACTTGGAGTGATATCTGATAATGTTTTTAATTTATTATCAAATGGTTCAAAAAAAAGAAGTGGTGCATGAATATGAGAGAGAGAGAGAAAGAGAGAGAAAAGAGAGCATCACCAAATACTATAAAACGTTAACAGTTTGTGAATCCAAGTAAAGAATTTGTGTGAGTTCATTGTACTTATGCTCTCAACTTTTCTGTAGGTTTGAAAATTTTCAAAACAAAAAGCTGGGGATAAAAATCACATTATGCAGAAAGACAGAAGCAGTTAACTAAGGAAGAGGTCAGTTCACCCCTCATACAGCTGCCATGAGCCTCCCTGGGGCAATGGGCTGTGAGTTCCAAAGGACACCTATGCCTTTTTTCACCTTGTTTCTCCGGCATCCTGACATGGTGTTCAGAATATGCATTCTGTGAATATGCATAGATGGGTGTTCTCTCTCATGGGTATGCTCCCAGGAAGCCAGAGCAGAGTCAGCCCTGGGAACAAACAAATGAAGACGGCGGTCTCAAGCATGGCACTATGAGGACCTCATGTTGCTGGTGGTACCAAACAATTGGAATTACATTAACAGGGGTGACACCAGGGCTTGCCTCCTGGCAGTGCCCTCTGGCCTTGCCTGCCTTCTTGGGCAGAGAACCAAAAAGCTTGCAGGATTGTATGTACTGCTCCCTATTCCCCCAACTATTGGCTCTGGACGGTCAATAAAACCGGAGTCTAGAGGAGAATAGTTGGCCAGAAGGGCTGACCCTCATCATGGTTGTTTTCAGCATGGGACCAGGGACTCTGTTCCCACCCCCGAATCCTGAAAGTAGGAAAGAGGGAAGCATCTGAGTGCCTGCCCCAAGATCAAGAGGCTGGAATCCAATTCCAGACCCTCCCTCACAGACTTTCCCACAGCCCGACAGTCTAGCCCTTGGAGATGAGAGCTGGGGCACTGGAAGACCACATGTTGGGCAGGCATCAAGTCCTCCCAGCTGGAAAAATGTCTGAATATGGGAGAAAGAGAACACAAGCCACCACGGACCTCTTACAGTCTCAGTTCCCACCAAAGCACAAAGCATTTCCTGTGCCTTTCCGTTATTTCACAAGTTCTTCTCACTTACACCCTGGACTGCAGGACAGAGGACCTTTTCTCCTCCAAGAAGCCAGACAGCTGGCTCTAAACTCTCCTGGTCAACACCATGGCCAAGACCCCTAGTGACCATCTGTTGTACTCCCTGGAGGAGCTGGTGCCCTATGACTTTGAAAAGTTCAAGTTCAAGCTGAAAAACACCAGCCTGGAGAAGGAGCATCCTCGGATACCCCGAGGCCAGCTCCAGACAGCTAGGCCAGTGAGGCTGGCCACTCTGATGCTCACCCACTATGGGGAGAAGTGTGCTGTGCGGCTGACACTGCAGGTCCTGAGGGCCATCAACCAGCACCTCCTGGCAGAGGAGCTCCACAGGGCGATTGGTCCAGGTAAGCAGACCCCATGTCCCCTCCTCTATTAGCTCTTCTTGAGGTGGGGTGGAAGATGCAAGAACTAGCACTCTAACTTAGGGGCTAGGAGTCCCAGGTCCACCATGATGCTAGTGACTGCCAAGAAAGGCCCTTTCTCTGCTCTAGTCTTTGGAGCTGGATTAGTAAAACTAAGGCTCCTAATGGCTTAAAAAGGGCAGGGGTGGGGAGTGGGCAGCTAGAGATTCTGACTCAGGGAAGGATCAGGAGAGGCAGGAGCTAGACACCAGATCTCAAAGAATTCCTCATGTCGTTCGTGATCATCTGTGCACAACTATCTGGGTGAACAAAAATGGCTTGCTAACTGATCATATTAATAAGGTTTATAGGTGATCTTTCCATTGTTAACCATCTAATTTCAGTTTTGAGATCTTCTTTCACATGTTTTACAAAGGCCATTTTAAAATTGTCAAAAGGACTTTCTCCTTTTCCTTTTCTTTCTTCCTTGTTTCTTCCTTCCATCCCTGCCTTCCTTTCTCTTTTTTCTCCTCTCTCTCTTCTCTTCCTTCTCCTTCCTCTGCTACCCTTTTGCTGTACTTTCTGATTCTGTTATATTGTAATCAAATAATGTGGTCTATTTGATTTCTGCTTTCAAAGACATTTTAAAGATTTGGGGGAGGCTAACACATGGTCAGTTTTTAAGAATATTCTTTGGTGTTTTAATTTTTCTTCAATTTCTACACTTTAAGAATACATTAGAAATGCTTTTAATGTGTTTCTTTGTGGTAGAACAGTTTAAGTAACTTAAAAATTCTCTGCTCTTTGAACTAATGACAGAACTAAACCGACTGTAATCTGAATCTGGATTAATTTGATGAACAGAATTTTTAAATTACCTTTTCATGTTTTAAAATCTGGTTATTAGCAAGTTCAGGGTTTCTCACCAGTTCTTAAGCCAGCTTTGGTAACTTATGTTTTCCTACACAACAGCAAAGTGTTTTAAACAATTGTAAAATAACTTTAATAAGAGTTTCCTCAAACTAAACACTAAGGTGCTAATTACAGGTTATCTTCCTTACTTTGTTAGAGTAGTAGTTTTCAAGTTATATCCCAGGATGGAAATTCAGGGATTATTTAGAATATTAGCAAATACTTGATTCAAACTTTCTTAATTTTTAACCTAAAAAAAACTAACAAATTCATATTAAAATGTATCAGTAACCAAATTTTCAAATGCCGAAGGCTACCAGTGTGATAGCTGATACTATAACTTGAACTCCTCTTTGAGTAAATCTTGGAACTAAGCCTTTCCCATTATTTCTTTTTTATTAAACAGTATCCTGATATTTCAAGGCAAGGTGGGTTTTTTTCTAATTGCCATTTACACTCACTTATCTGTGGGAGTTAGAATTTTCTTCACCTCATGAAACCAGAGGGAAAAACAGATATAAATTACTTTCTCAAGTTTTAACTGTCTTTCATAACCTCATTTCAAATTTTTATGCCAAACACCTTAATAATTCTTTTTATCAAGTTTTATTGAGGAAAAATGGACATATATACTGTTTAAGGCATACATACAGCATGATGGTCTGATTTACATATGTTGTGAAATGATTACCACATAGTTTCAGCTAACACCCATCTTCTCATATAGGAAATGAGAACTTTTAGGATTTACTCTCTTAACAACTTTCCAATATATCATTCAGCAGTGTGGAAATTCTGCTCATGCTAATTGTCTAGCAGCAATGCCACCTAGCACCCTTTTCAAATGAAATTACTCTCTTGAGGTTTTTCGGACTACATGAACAATGTGAACTGGAGCAGAGGCCTAAAAGAGAGCACTTGTGTTTACAAATTTTCAGGAGAGATTTTCTTTCTCTACTGTATCTAATGTCAAGATCTATAGGTACACATTCATGCTGCCCTCTTCTGTGTGGAAGGTTTTCTTTTTTTCCTTTAAAACTTTTAAATATAGATTTTCAAACATACTCAGGGGTAGAGGGTACTATGATGAAGCATCTTTTTACCTATCACCCACTTCAATGATTACCACTATTTGGCCATTCTGAATACAGCTGTTCTTCCCTTGCTTACTATTGTAATTGAGTTTTGTTTTTCTGAGAATTTATTTATTTATTTATTTATAACTAGTAGCATTGGTTGATAATATTATATGTTTCAAGTGTGCATTATAATTCAATATCTGTATGCACTACAGCAATGCTCACCACCAAAAGTCTAGTTTACACCTGTTAATTCTTTTTTTTACATTTCCAGAAAACTTATTTGTATGTCCACCTAGATCAACCTTACTTTGAAAGACTGAAAATTTCCCCCAGAGAGGGTGCACCATTCCTAGAAGTATTGCAATACCAGGCAGATGCATGGAGTAGAGGGAGCAAGCCCCTATCCAACCTCCTAATTCCAAAAATCCATTTAATATATTGTCCTTGGGTAGAAAATGTATCAGATATTAAACTGAAAGGAACAGATGCTACACTTGATCTTAGCCAAAAGGCCAAGAAGCAATATACCTATTGATTCATTGATTTTATAAGTGAATTCTTTATTTGTTGATTTTATAATCACATACAAATTCATACCAATAACTAGGTTTTATTTATGTATGAAGAATTCTGTTTTTGGAATTCTCATATTGGAAATAAATTCTCCTGCCTAAAAAGTTTCCAATAATATGTATATTTGAAAAATATATAGCAAATAGTATGTTTTCATTTAATGGTAACTGACTATTGTCTAGAATATTCAGAACTTTTCTTTTTTTTAAGATTTTATTTATTTTTAGACAGAGGGAAAGAGTGGAAGAGAGGGAGAGAAACATTAATGTGTGGTTGCCTCTTGCACACCGCCTACCGGGGACGTGGCCCGCAAACCAGGCATGTGCCCTGACTGGTAATCGAACCAGCGACCCTTTGGTTTGCAGGCTGGCACTCAATCCACTGAGCCACACCAGCCAGGGCCAGAACTTTTCCAATTTCTGTGTGGATTCTTTCTTCTCTCTCTTCCCCCAGCCCTTAGCCTGAGCACTCAACATTTTCATGTCTTTGCATCACCTTGTCTTTTCAGAATATCCAATACAAGAAAGTGGCACTGACTGTTTGGCAATGTCTTGTTTATCTGGGGAGAATAAGCCTAAAAGCCTAAGGATACCAGATGGCCTGGAAGGTGACAGGCAGCAGCAAAGTGGTGATGGGGCAACCAGCCAGCCTGAGGCCGGAAAGGGGCCCCAGAAGAAACCTCCGGGTAAACGGAGAGATCAGAAGGGCTCAGAGGGCCTGGATGTTCAGGGCAAGCCAGGCCCCAGGAGTGTGACTCAGTCATCCAAAAAAAGTCCATTCCCAGGCAAGCCACAAGGGGAGAAGGGGAGCAATTCGAGTGTCAGGCTACGCCGGAATGCCAGCTCTGCAGGAAGACTCCAAGGACTTTCCAGTGGGTCATTTGCTGGGTCCCCGGGCAGGAAAGAATGCAAGATATGTGAAACATGTGTACCTTCAAAAAAGAATCGACCCAAAAGTCTTGAATTTACCATTTCTTCAGGAGAGAGAGAACTGCCCAATCTAGGAACTCTTCTGCCTCAAGAGAAAATCAGACGTGAGAATCCCGACTCAGCAGCTATCCTCCGCAAAGTGGCCACTCTGGATGTAGGGGCTACCATAGCTCTGGAGAAATGCTCCAGAAATCCAGAACATTTTGTGACAATGGATGGGGAAGCATTCAGGAATATGCTTTCCAATATGTCATTGGCTGGAGAGGAGAAGACCTGGGAGCATCCAGAATCCACAACACCTTCGGAGAAAAATAAAAATGAGGAACCAGAGACCCCTGGGACCTCAGGGGAGGCAATAGGCAGTGAGCTTTTAAATCCAGGAGTCCCTCCATCTTCAGGTAAGAAAGGACCCCAAAATCCAGGTAACCTGGTATCCTTAGGGATGGTGACGTGTGCAGATATTCCTCCACAAACCTTCTTTTATCCCCATTGTATGAATGTTACTGGATCCCTGGGTGCCCCCTTGAGGTCCACAACCCTTTGAGAATCTGTTGGAGGCTGTGAATCCTGAAAAGAAAACTGTAAATGCACATCTTCACAAAACGATGCCTTAAATTTCAGTTAGTTATTTCTTACACACTCTGAAGTCCTGCTTTAGAATTCCAAGGACTTCATGGATTCCAGGTTGAACACCTGGGAAAGACTGGGTAAAAATATCCCCTTTTCTCAATAGCCCTATGGCCATATGGCATGGAACCAAGAATCCACCATTTGCCTCTCAGAGAGGAGAGCTGTTGGCCAAAACCCCAGGTCTCTTTTATACTAATGAGGCAGAAATTAGGATTATGCTGGGTTTTGAATGACAGAAACACCATAATAACAGTAACTGAAGCAAGACAGGTTTGTTCCTCCTTCACACAAATGGCACACAGGTGGTCCAGGGCAGATGTGGTACTCCATGGGCCAGGAATCCTAGCTCACGCTGCTCTGCTGCTCATCAAATTTGCTTTCAAGCTCATGGTCTCCAATGAGCTTGGTCTCCAATGAGCTCATCCTCATTCCAGGGAGCAAGATAGAGACAAAGGAGAATAGTAGCGCTTAGGGAAAGTTTCCAGAAGTTTCTAGAAGCTGGTCATGACACTTACATTTACATCCCTTTAGCCACAATTGGTCAAATGGCCACAACTAACTGCAAAGGAAACTGAGAAATGTAGATCTATTTGGGGTGGGGTTGAGTCAGGAGAGCAGCCATATGGACAGCAGTCAATTTTACCACAAGGGAAGGAGGGGAGAATGGTTATTATGTGGCCTCTTGCAGTCTCACAGACATTTTATAAATTTAATGTTTTATAAATGTCTGGGACCCTGTGAGAGGAGGAGGTGGGAGGGCATTAATGTGTTGTGTTTCTATTTCTTCTTGGAGCTCCTGTCATTTCTGCTTCGTGAAGTTGTGCTATGGTCTCAGGGCAGAACTAATCACAGCTGTATGTCATCATGGCGGGTTACACCCTCTAGCCTTATAGAGTCCCCTTCTTTACTTTCATTTAATACTTCCTGAACCTGGGTGTGAAAGGTGGTCCATTTGTTTCTTCATTCAACACACACTTCCCAAAGGCTGACCATGTCCCAGGGACACTGCCAGGAGGTGGAGGTCTGACTATGAGCCAGTCAGTGTCCCCCAGGCGTACCCACTCAAGTCATGAGTAGCTGGGTGGTTTTAAGTGGTAAAGCAAACACTTGTCAAAATATCTTGCTGTCTTTATATTACCTGTTAGATCAGTATACGTGTGGGAAGAAGGCATAGAATTTACAGCAAAAGGCCTTTCTTTAGGATAAGTACCCAAGAATTCCAGGTCTCAGGACTGTCATGAGATCTAGCCCTGAGCTCTCAGTACCACGGACTTGTCTGTTGCCTTGCTGGAGGGAAATCGGAGGAGGACAAGCTAGGAAGTAGCCACAGTCTAACAGAGCTCGTGTGTCTTAGGCGTGGGCTCCTTCTTTCCTATGCTTTTGCATTACCACTTTGTAACATCTTGGGTTTGTTACTCAGATTTTTCCACTGCTGTGTCCCTAGGGAGGCCGCAGGATGAAGCTGTGTGTCCCCTTTGCCGTGCCCAGGAAGGAGACCCAGTTGGTGGCACTCGTGTGCACAATTCTTGCAGCTGCTCCATTGCTTCTAGGGATCCCAAGACCTCGGGGGGTTGCTTGCCCAGCTGCCCCAGGTACCAGGCCTCGCTTCCAACGGAGAGCTCTGGAGGCTTTGAGCGGCAGGAGGGCCTGCTGATGACCTGCCTGAGCCCTAAGCCCCTGCCGCAATGTGAGCGTCACAGGAAGCAGGCCCAGTTGCTCTTCTGCGAGGACCATGGGGAACCTATCTGCCTCGTCTGCAGCCTGAGTCAGGAGCACCGAGGCCACTGGGTACGCCCCATCGAGGAAGCTGCCCTGGAATACAAGGTAGGACTTCCTGCCTGGGGGCCCTTCTCTGCTGAGCACTTGGTGAGCATGTCACCATTCTTGAGCTGTAAATGGCAAAAACACAATACAAACCAGGAGAGCAAAGAGAGAATTTACCACTTCATGTAGCTCAGAGGTCCAAGGGCCTCACTTCAGGTATGGCTGAATCCAGGTGCTCACAAGGTCATTGGGAATTTCTTTTTCTTCTTTCTGCTTTCCTTGGTGTGATGGATTCATTTTTTTCTGGGCACCCCTCCACTTACTCTTGGCTGCACACTCTCAGCTTTATTCCCCAAAGCAGATTTTCCCCTCTAGAGTTAGTACCAACTAAACATAGCAAGAGACAAGTTTAAGCTTTAACAAGTGCTCTTTGTCCAGGAGCAAATTCAGAAGCAGCTGGAGCATCTGAAGGAGCTGAGAAAATCTGGAGAGGAGCAGAGATCTCAGGGGGATAAGAACATAGTGAACTACCTGGTAAGGCCAAGGGTGTTTCTATGGCCAGTCTTCACCTGGGTTCACCCGTGCAGAAGGAGGGAGGGGACAGAGCATAAATAGGGGTCCCCGAGGTTCTGTTCTGGTTCATAGGGAAGCAGAGCTGATCACATGTTTAGAATTACCTGCGGGACAGCGGGCAGGAAGGTAACGGGTGTCCAAGGATGAGCTCATTGCTGCAGCGGGGGACCAACCACCACAGGGAAGGGCATCTCCAAGGACGCTGTTACACTTTCTCATACTCATCACGAAATGTTTCAGAGAAACTAATACCAACGGCTGTGGCTGAAGGATGGGACTAACAAAAAGGAAGAACTTTTCAACCTGAATACTCTTCTTTATTGCTTTTATCATGGTTGTCTTCTATTTTAATTTTTTACAAAAACAATGTTGATTTTTAAAACTCAAATGGTTAAAGTACACATTTTCTTTAAAACCATGGTTTTGCAATGCCACAAACTATTGGCCTTCCTCTGTGGTGCTGACGTGCAGCCTTTTGGATATGCAAATTGCTTCCATTTTACCTGCAAGGCACCTATCCACAGAGCCTTGATCTGTCCACCTCATTTCTGTTGGCTGGATCCCATCTCCTCCTCTGGGTTCCAAACTTCTGTTGGGACCCATCACATCTCAATGGGAAACAGGCAAAGAGGTCACAGTGACATGGGCCACTGTGGAAACAAGATGCTTCTTTCAGAACTTTTTTCAATAATCAAAAAAATTTTTTACTCATAAGAAAGAGGAAGGGAAAGCTCTTCTTTATAGCATCATGCCAGCTAAAACAAGTATAGGAGAATAACTGAATTAGAAATTTTCATTATACAACCACCAATATAAAAATTGACACCAACAGGAATCCTCAATGAATGCTGAAATTTTTAGATCATTAAACTACAGGATATTTACATACTCTCAAAGTATATTCCCCAAATTACTTAATAACTATAAAGGAAATAATGTCTATTACAGTGGAGAGATAGACACTTCCTTAATCAAGTGACTAATCCTAGTATTGCAATAATGGTAACAGACAAACTAAAAAGTCTTTGCCTCCCCATGAGATGTGTTAGGAAGACCACAGCATTAAATATGTGGTACTTTGGCCCACAGTGCTTAACCTGAATGTAATCATAAGCAAAATTATCAGACAATTTTAGGATATAGGCCACTAAACAAGACAACTGACCTGTCCTTTAAAAAAAGGTCAATGTTACTGCCAACAACAACATCAAAAAGTGAGGAGGTGTTTGGGGTTCAAAAGAACTGGAGTTAGTCCTGTCCTCTTGAGCCAATAATGAGGAGACTTCTTAAGTACGGTCTTAGTGGATCTGAAGGGCCCTTGCCCTTCTTGGGAGAAGGAAAAGGTGCTCTAGAGCCACTTCACCTCTCCACAGAAGCTTCCTACTGATGATGAGAAACAAGGCAATAGAGCTACTGGTTGATCAGTGTGCAATGGTAGTGGAAGTCAAGTTCACATACATTCAAATAAATGGACTGAAAACCCCATTCAGAGCCATAATGAGAACCTTCTACATGCCATCACTTGGGGTAGGGGACAGGGAGTGAAGTTTCCCTTCTGGAGAGCTTGGTGGTAATAATCTTGTCCATTTATGACCCCAAGTATATGCCATCCTCACACTAGCTTTTCAGGAAGGAAGAAGGTGACATCAGGTATCTGTGTTCTGTGGCTGCTGTAACAAAATACCACCAACTGGGTGGCTTAAACCACAGAAATTTATTCTCTGGCAGTTCTGGAGGCAAAAGTCTGAAATGAAGATCTTGGCAGGGCTGGTTCCTTCTCAGGGCCCTGAGGGAAGGACATATTCCAGGCCTCTCTCCTCAACTTGTAGATGTCTGTCTTTTCCCTGTGTCTCTTCACATGGTGTTCTCCGTGTGTGTGTGTGTGTGTGTGTGTGTGTGTGTGTGCTGTGTGTGTGTGTCCAAATTTCCCCATTCCAGTGGACTACCCCACTCTAGTGTGCCCTCATCTTAACTAATTACATCTGCAAAAACCTTGCTTCCAAATAAGATTATATTCTCAGGTACTAGGAGTTAGAAATTTAATATATGAATTTTAGAGAAAACCTAATTTAACCTATAATAGGTTTTAGGGCATTTTCCAAGAGCCAGTCCCTTTCACTCTCAGTCTGTTGTGAAAGGTTCTGGTCCATTTTGCCTCCTGCTCTGGAATGCAAGCCTCTAAGAGGCTGAGGGAGTCTGCCTCTTATCCACCTCCAGGAGGTGGGCTTCTGGGGATTCCCTGGGCACACATCCATCCTACAGCACAGACACCTACACCTCCCTGTTTCCTGTTCCCAGAAACAAACTGAAATCCAGAAGCAGAAAGTTAGGTACCAGTTGGAGAAGTTGCACCGCTTTCTGGAGCAGCAAGAGCAGCTCTTTGTGGCCTGGCTAGAGGAACTGGGCCAGACCATTGGCCAGGTCAGGGAGACATATGACACCCAAGTATCCAGGGATATTGCCCCTCTCAGCAAGATGATCGAGGAGCTGGAAGCCAAGCAGTGCCAACCAGAATGGGAGCTTATGCAAGTGAGTATGACTGGACCTGGCCTTGACCTGTACACTGTGCCCAGTAGGATGACATGGACACCCAGCACTGACATCAGCTCTGTCCAGGTCCTTGGGGCCAATGGTGGGACTTGGTCTTGGTGACCTGCAACGCCTCTTATGCCCAGACCCATTTCACAAGCTCTCAGGATCCCAGAGTAGCCCAGAATCCAGGGTTCTCCTGGCACCTCCCAGAGGAGATCAGCAGAGCTTGGGTGCAGTTATGTTGTAGGCCACAGCTAGGCTGCCATCTTGGGGAATTAGAAGTAGAATTGGGAGAGGTACCCCAGTTTTGATGATGTCCTGGGGCCAGAGAGGCTAGCAGTCAGTGCATCCCATAGGAGTGTGGTAATGGAGAGCTTCCCTCTTTTCTCTCCTAGGACATCGGAGTCACCCTGAACAGGTATCAAGAGGTCCCCTGGTGATTTGCTGGGTGTCCTGCAGGAAGCATCTGGTGAGGCAGTCCTAGAATGGAGATGTTCCCAACCCTGTGTTTGGGACTCCTCCCCAGGCTCCTCGCATTTCCTGCAGCTACCTAAGGCCTTTCTGGATTTGTGTAGGGAAAACAAGAGTGTGATCAGGAGGGAGAACATGAGCTCAAAGACTGGAAAAAATGATCACAGCTTGCCACACTAATGGTGGCTACCTAAGAAACTTTCCTAATAGATTGTGTCCTATGCAATTCACTTCATAAAAACTGTTCCTGCAAAGTGCCTGTGGCCTCAGAGAGGGAACCTTTCCAGGAGTAGAGCTGCCAAGCCCAGCAGGCAGGGGAGGAGATCAGAGGGAGGAGGCTGGACATTACAATCACCCCAGAAGTCTTACAAAATCCTGACATCCAGGCCCTGGCAGATGAGTTAAAGCTGAATCTCCAGGAGTGCAACCCAGGAATCCATTTTTTAATCTTTTTTGTTTAGTGGTAAAATATACATAACATAAAATTCACCATCTTAACCATTTTTAAATGTATGCTCAGTGGCATTAAATACATTCACATTATTATACAACCAACACCACCATCCATCTCCAGAACATTTTCATCTTCCCAAATGGAAATTCCACACCATTAACCCCTCCCACCCTGAACCCCCAGCAACCCCACTCTACTTTCTATCTTTGTGAATTTGACTACTCTAATGACCTCATATAAGTAGAATCATAAAATATTTGTACTTTCATATTTGGCTTATTTCATTTAGCATAACGTTTTCAAGGTTAATCCATGCTGTAGCATGTGTCAGAATTTCATTCCTTTTTAAAACTAATAACCTACTGTATGTATATACCAAATTTTGTTTAACCACCCTTCCATCAAGGGACAATTAGATTGTTTCCACCTTTTGGCTATTGTGAATAATGCTGCTATGGATACTGGTACAGATATATGTGTTTGAGTCTCTGCTTTCAATTCTTTTGAGTATATACCCAGAAGTGGAATTTTTCTATCATGTGCTAATTATATGTTTAGTTCTTTTTTTTTTAGGAAGCATCATAATATTTCCCACAGTATCTGTACCATTTTACAGTCCACAGCAATGCATAAGGGTTCAAATCTCTCTACATTCTTGCTAACACTCATTTTTTTTAAATTTTTATTTGATTGATTTTAGAGAAAGAGGAAGGAAAGAGAGAAAGAAAGGGAAACATTGATTTGTTGTTCCACTTATTTATGCATTCACTGATTGACTCTTGTACGCACCCTGACTGGGGATCGAACCCACAACCTTGCGGTATTGGGATGATGAGCTACATGACCAGGTCTATTTTTTTCTTAACAATAGCCATCCCAATGGGTGTGGAGTAGTATATCATTGTGTTCTTTCCTCATCAATTATCATTTTATTTCAATAGAAAGAAAAAGACTAGGGAAGTATAATTTGACATAAATAATTCTGGGCTGAGTATTTCAGATCAGAAGCATTTTAAGGTCATTCTTAAAAATTACTGTGAAGTTAATATCAGTGGTTTTTAAAACTCCCCAGGTGATGCAAATCCATGGCCAAAGTTGAGGACCATCTTTTAGAACTTGAAGTCCAGGGAGGACTTTCTTTGCAAAGCCTGGGCTGGGTTGGGTATAGCCTGTAGAGGTTGCACCTCCCCTCCATTTTATGAGAGCTTGGGCCACTCCCATGCTCCAGCCCTCTCTGGACAACAGTTTTTGTTTCTAGAGCCAAGACACTGACTGTCCCTGAGCCATGGACCACTCCTCTAGAGGTAAAAGAAAAGATCCACCTCCTTCACCAGAAATCAGAGTTTATGGAGAAGAGCATAAAGCATTTCTTGGGTAGGTGGGCTTGTGGGAAAATAGGAGGTACCTGCTCACTTCCTCCCTGAGATCCATGTATCCAAGGGCCCCTGGGTATCCCTTTTCTACCTCTCACAGCCTTCTGACTCTGCCTTCAGCCTCCCCCAATCTGTCCCTAGTTGGCAAACTTAATTCTGGCTCCCTTTCTCCTTTAGAAACCCTACGTTCAGGAATGGAACCCTTCAGTGGTAAGTATGGTGGTGGTAATATATGCTGAGCAAGAGTAATTGTGATATTCCCTTATACTGTTTATTTCTGGGCATTATTTAGAAGAGAGAAAAGCACCTGTAACAAAGGCAAGAGAAGGGTCACAACAGGCTCTGTGTAAGATTCCTTTAGAGGGGGGTCAACTCATCAGACCACAAAAGTCTCTGAGGCAGGCCCAGGAGCCTAGAAGGAATGGGGTTATATCCAAGCAGAGGAACCAGGTTCCTGAACATCGGGGTCCTTGTCTTTCCTTGTTGTGAGAACCAAGGTAGATTTAACCCTCAGAATGGGAATACTCAGGATTTCCCCACACCCCCCTCATCTCCTTTTTCTCTGTAGTTCCGGAACTGATTGGTGCTCAGGCACATGCTGGAAAGTGCCCAGATCAAGGTGAGTGGCCTTGGCCTGATGGGTCCCTGTGCTACCCCTGTGTTCCAGAAGAGCAGCCCTGCCATGTTTCCTGGAGGTGGGGAGAACCTGTGGGGATGTTGCCCATGGACCCCTAGCTAAGTATTCTAATTATCTCTGCAGTTAATGTACTTCTGGATGCAGAAACTGCCCACCCAAACCTCATCATCTCTGATGACCTGAAGAGTGTTAGACTTGGAAACAAGTAGAACCGCATGCCTGACAATCCAGAAAGATTTGATAGCTGCGTTATCGCCCTGGGCTCTCCGAGCTTCTTCTCTGGCCACCATCACTGGGAAGTGGAGGTGGGAGACAAGACAGCGTGGGTCCTAGGCATCTGCAAGACATCCATAAGCAGAAAGGGGAGCATGACTCTGTCACCGGAGAATGGCTACTAGGTGGTGATGATGATGAAGCAAAATGAGTACAAGGTGTCCACCCTTCCCCCAATCTGCCTGCAGATGAGGAAGCCCCCCAGGCATGTGGCCATCCTCCTGGACTACTTGGCTCGAGACATTTCCTTTTACAATGTGACAGCCAAATCTCACATCTACACATTCACCAGCTTCTCTTCCTCTGGGCCCCTTCAACTTATCCTCAGCCCTAGGACACATGATGGAGGGAAGAATATGGGTCCTCTCACCATGTGTCCAGTGGATGGCCAGGTGCCTCACTGAATGCCCTATACTTTTCGTCTTTCTTCCAACTCCCAACCTTGTCTCTTGAATTCATACACTCAACAGTTATTATTGTACATATACCGAATTTTGGGTGCTTTGGGAAATACAATAAATCAGAAAATAGTCTGTGGGCCCCAGGAGCTTATGGAGTAGTAGTCGAAGTAAGCTAGGTACTTAAATAGTGGTAAACCAAGGGTGAAAAAAGAAAACACACGCAATGATGACATGCCAAGTTTTCTTCAGAATAGGAAATACATGGCTATTGCTCGATAAATCCTTGTATGTATTAACACCCTAAGAGGTTCCTGAGACAGAGATCCCACTCTCATTTCCCTCAGGACGCCATGGCAAAGGCATGTCCCCTCAGTTTATTCTCCCCTGTTTTGAGGACTTGGAAAGTCTAGATTAAAAAAAAACACAAAACAAGCAGAGTGTCTTGCTATAATTTGTTTTTTTGTACCTGGAATAGTAAAGTATGATTCTTAAACAGCACTGGCTAGGCCTGATAAACTGATTAGAAAATTTTATCATAATTCCATTTGTTGTCACTCAATTGGTCACTGTGAGATTCCACTTCCCTACTGAACACCATGAAAGAGATGGGGCTACTGTGGTGGGAAAACATTTGACATACATTCCAAGTGTCCAGTTATTCTGTCCTGATCTATATCTGGAAATCTGTGAGCCTGTGGAATATTAGGTGCTCTAGTTCACAGATGTCCCCTCTATCATCCCCCATTAGATGTAAAGAGAAAGGATGTAAGAAAAAAATAATCGATGAAGATTAAACTCCAAACTCCTCCTACACCAACTCCTCTTTCTGTATCTTCACACTAGAGTCTAGTTTGGACTCCAATTCTCCATGGTTGTAACCACAGCACAAAACACGTTTTGCTGTCTTCATGGTGCTTTGTTCTATGTGAATGATCCACATGCTGACACAGTTCATGTGCCCTATTTGCTCAGCTGTTCCCTATGGTTGGTCATTTGTTACTTCCAATTATTCCTGCACGTTTCACAATCAGCTTCATGTTTATTTTCCACTACCTCACTATACACTTATTTTTTTCTCCTCTTATTCTTAAAACAGTTCTAGAATGTGAACTGTTTGATAACACTTGCTACAGTGGACATATAATCCTCCAGAAAGATTTAAAATATTTCATGCCCAAAGCAATGTTTGACATTATTTTTTGCTGGTTTAACAGACATATAATGAGGTTTTACCTATGTTTTGTTTCATTACCATTTATGAGGCAGTGAATTTTTCCAAGTGAATTTCTACTTTTTACTTCATTCTGTAGAAATGGTACAGGTCCTTTGACTATTTACTTGTAGAATCTAAATATTCAACTTTTTCGTTGGTAGTATGTTCTTCATAAATATTTTAGATACTAAACATTTGTATCTGTAAGATGAAATCTTCCTGTCTGGTGTTTTTTAATTGTGATATATTTCACATACCATAAGATTCACCCTTTGAAGGTGTATAGGACTTCCAGTCAAGATTGGCAGAGTAGGTGAAGCTGCGCTTGCCTTCTCTCACAATTACATCAAAACTACAACTAAATTACAGAACCACCACCCTTGAGAACCATCTGAAAACTAGCTGAATGAAATTCCTAAACTAAGTATACAAAAAAGAAGCCACACCAAGATTGGTAGGAGGGGCAAAGATGCAAAATGGGCTGTGGAGGTGCCTGCCGAGGAGCCAGGAAATCCAGCCCTATACCGAGCTCCCCAGCCCAGACCACCAGTGCCAGGAAAAAAAATTCTCCAAAACATCTGGCTGTGGAAATGAATGGGGATTCTGTCTGGGTGACATGCAGGGCTGCTGTTGTCTCAGGTGTTCCTCTTCAAAGGCTTGTGCACAGACTTATTCACTGACATACTCAATTTGCTCTGACTCCAGCTCAGGGGCAACAGCTCAAAAAGTGCCAGGGCGAAACAGGGCAAAACTGAATTGTCTGGCTTCAGGGTGAGGACGGGAAGAGCAGCTCTCTCTGGGACCATACTGCTGGCAAGTTTGTTCCTTTGTTGAGCCCTCTCCCCACATAACCAGAAGGAGCAGACTGGTACCAAATCTGTCTCCATCAATATCATCCCACTCTGGTGATTCCCTAAAACCCATCCTACCTAACTCAAACACTAACCCAAACCTCTTTCAGTGGCTATTCCTAACCAGATGTCAATCTTGGCTCATACTGGGAACTTTCCTAAAATCTTTAAGAGGTCCACAAACCCAGACAAGCAGCAGCTGGCCTCAGCATGCCCTCTACCTCTTGCTAAATGGCCCCAGGACTAGTGGCAGTAGGCTTTGGTTTGCACAATAGCCTCTCTCAGGTGCCTCCAAGTCCAGCACAGGCAGCTATCAAATACAGATCAGTTTGTCGCTCCTTACCACTTGTCCGCAGACCAGGCACAGGTAGTAGCTGACCTGGGCCTACACAGAAGCCCCCCACCCAAAAGGTCCTGGAACCAACACATCTGGTGGCTGGCTTCAGATTACACCAGAGCACTACCCAATTAGTTCCACAAGTAACATACCCAAACTGTTGACTTGGCAGGCACCACAATCCCAGTACAGTGAATAACACTCCATGGGGTGAACCTCTGCACTATAGCTCATCCACTATAGTCACATCCAGTTCCCCCAGCCAGTCAGCATGAGGGTCAATCCTACCCACCGACATGCCAGCAACAATAAAGGCTCAACTGCAATAGAATACAAAGAACTGACACCAGGGACACCCTAGGAAACCCACCTCAAATGAGCAGGAAGTCTGTACCACTGGGCCCCATGGGACACCTAATAGATAAGGCTACCCTGCCAAGACTGGGAGATATAGCAGCTCTACCTAATACATAGAAACAAATACAAGGAGGCGGCCAAAATGAGAAGACAAAGAAACATGTCCCAAAGGAAAGGACGGGACAAAACTCCAGAAAAAGAACTAAGTAAAATGAAGGCAATCAATCTACCAAGTATAGAGTTCCAAACACTGGTTATAAGGACACTCAGTGAACTGAGGGGAAAAGTAGATGAACACCGTGAAAATGTACACAAAGAGATAGAAACCATTAAAAGGAACTAGTCATAAATGAAGAATACAATAACTGAAATGAAGAATATATTAGATGAAATCAGCAACAAGTAAGATGAAGCAGAGAATCAGATCAGCAGTTTGGAAGACAAGGTAACAAAAAATACCCAATCAGAACAGCAAAAAGAAAAAAGAATTTTAAAAAATGTGGATAGTTTAAAGGACCTCTAGGACAACTTCAAGCACAACATTGACATCATGTGGTACCTCAAGGAGGAGAGAGAGAGCAGGAGATTGAAAGCCTATCTGAAATAGACCTACAGGTTCAGAAAGCATAGAGAGTCCCAAACAAGATGAACCCCAAAGAAGCTCACGAAAAGACATCATAATTAAAATGCCAAAGGTTAAAGACAGAAAATTAAAAGCAGCAAGAGAAAAGTCATGAATAACCTATAAGGAGCTCCCATAAAACTGTCAGCTGACTTCTCAACAGAAACTTTGCAGGTCTGAAGGGACTGCCATGAAATATTCAAAGTAATGAAAAGCAAGGACTTACAACCAAGATTATTCTATCCAGCAACACTGTCATTTAGAATTGAAGGACATATAAACAGCTTCCCAGACAAGAAAACCCTTAAGGGACTTATCACCACTAAACCACTATTACAAGTAATGTTAAAGGGATTACTTTAAGAAGAACTTTAAAAGATAAAAATATGAATAATAAAATGATAGTAAGTACATACCTATCAATAACTACTTTAAGTGTAAGTGAATTAAATGTTTTAATAAAAAACATAGGTGCCTGATTGGAGAAGTAAACAAGACTTATTCATATGCTGCCTTGAGACCCACTTCAGGTCAAAAGAGATACACAGACTAAAAGTAAAGGGATGGAAAAAGACGTTTCAAGAGAAAGGAAATGAAAATATCTAGAATAGCAATAGTTATATCAGACAAAATAGACTTTAAAACAAAGGCTATAACAAGAGACACAGAACATTTCATATATGGTAGCCATCAACAGATGACTGAATAAAGATGTGGTACATAAATACAATGGAATATTACTTAGCCATAAAAGAGAATGAAATCTTACCATTTGCAAGAATACAGATGGACCTAGAGGGTTTTATGCTAAGTGTCAGAGAAGGACAAACATATGATTTCACTTATATGTAGAATCTAAAGAACAAAATAAATGAACAAAACAGAAACAGACTTGTAGATACAGAGAACAAACTGATGGTTGCCAGATGAAAAGGGGGTTTGGGGACTGGGCAAAAAAGATGAAGGGATATAAACTGGAAATTTATAAAATAGTCACAAGGATGTGAAGTACAACATAGAGAATATAGTCAATAATATTGTAATAAATATGTGTGGTGCCAAGTGGGTATTAGACTTATTGAGGGGATCACTTTGTAAATTATATAAATGTCTCACCACTATACTGTACACTTGAAACTAATATAATATTTAATGTCAACTGTAATTGAAAAAATTTAAATTTAAAATAATGTATACAATTAAGTGGTTTTTAGTACAATTCACAATGTATACAAAAATTACCACTAATTCCAGCACATTTTCATCACCCCCCAAATCAACCCTGCACCCATTATTGGTAACTTGCCATTTGGTCAATCCATGTAGCAGCATGTGTCAGTAATTTATTCCTTTTTATTGCTCAATAATAATCCATTATATAAATAATACTACATCTTGTTTATCCATTTATCAGTCATCAGTTGATAGATATCTGGATAGATATCTGGGATAGATATCTGGGTTGTTTCTACTTTTCAGCCATTATAAATAATGCTGCTATTCATTTACAAGTTATCGTGTGAACACGTTTTCATTTCTCTTGGGTTTATCCTAGGAACAAAATTTCAGGGTCATATGGTAAAATGTGAGTGACTGCCAAACTGTTTCCCAAGTGGCTAAGCAACTTTTCAATCATTAAAGCCAATTAGATTTTTTCCCTCTGTGCAAGGACTTCACAGCCTTTGCCGTCATCTGTTGTCAATTGGTAGGTGTCCTTTGTATGTTGGGAATGTCTGATTCTTTATCTGGCTTTTTACAGTGGTTTTCCAGTCTGTTTCTTGTTTTACTTTATTTTTTTCTGTTTTGATCAGAAAACTTTGTTTTTTCTAAACTTGTCTCCATATTTTTATCATAAAGTAAATCATTTTATCTCGTGTTGAACTTTCAAATTTTACAATAGGATTTACACTGTCAGCTGCTCTATTTTGCAAAATGAACTATGTATTTTGCTGCATGTAATGTGCACTTTTCCCCCCAAATTTTTGAGGAAAAAATAAAGATGTGCAACTAATTTGTTACCGGTAAATAAAATTTTCTTGTACCTGTTCTTGTGTTTTTATAATTATTTGTTACATAAAATTTCTTGTACTGTATGTGCAAAAATAAATGCTAAAATTCTTTTACAAAACAAAAACAAATATCTAAATATAAATAAATAAATAAATTTTAAAAATTAAAACAAAAGATTTTTTCTCCCTGAAAGTTTGGGCCAAAAACATGGGCACATATTATACATGACAAGATGTAGTAAATTCTTTGTTGTTTTTATTGAATTTATTGAAGTGACATTAATTAATAAAATTATATGCTTCAGGTACACAATTCTACAATACATCATCTGTATAGTGCATTGTGTGTTTACCACCCCAAGTCAAGTCTCCTTCCATCACCATTTATCCCTCCTTTACCCTTTTCTACCACCCTCCTAAACACTTCTTTGATTCCGACAACTGGATGAAAATTTTTGAGTGATTTTCATTAATACTGTTTTTAAAGGTCACACTGGTGTATATTTTAAGACATCTCAGTTTCCCATTTTGCTTCAACATTAAACTTAATGTTCTCTTAAGTGTTCTTTCATTTGTTATGAAATTCCATTTTTTGTATGTAGTATAAGGACAGCAGTTTTACTCCCCCCCAAAAAAACAGTTTTTGCTAACACCATCTATTTCACACTAGGTTGAAATGCTGCCCTTTCATATAGGCCCTCATATATTCAGATCAATTTGAGCACTTCCCATTCTTCTCTACTTTTCTATTTACTTACTCTTAGTTCAAACTGTATTGCTTTTTTAAAAAGACTTTATTTATTTTTAAAGAGAGGGGAAGGGAGGGAGAAAGAAGGGGAAAAATCCATGTGCGAGAGATACATCCATTGGTAGCCTCTCACATTCCACCAATTGCGGACCTGGCCAGCAACCTAGGAATGTTGACCTGACTGGGAATCCAACCAGTGACCTTTCAGTTTGCAGACCGGCTCACACCGGGTGTGAGCCACACCAGCCAGGGCTCAAACTATACTGCTTTGATTAAAGGGGCGGGTGGTTGCTGTTGTTTTTTGTTTTGTTTTGTTAGTAATTCTGATGTCTAGAAAGGTATTCTTTATTTAAAAAAAAAAATTTTTTTGGTACCACACAGTTTTGACACTAGTCTCTCTATAATTTATTTTAAACCATGGTTAAGTGAGTCACTTACAGTTAGCGTTAAGAAAAGGCATTCATTTATACTCTGACTTTCATCATCCTGCTGGTAGCTGATGTTACATACAGAAATAAGGCAGTATTTCGGGCTATCCCAATGCAGATCAGTGTATGGGAACCGCCTATGGGTACTATGCAAAGAGAAAAGACGCTGTTAGGCGTCCGTAGGCTGCAATGGAGGATGGAAACAGCAACGGTTCGAGAACGACTGTGATTTCTTAGAAAGTAAGATGGCCACAACAGTGTTGAAGATGGCAGGCGGGAAAAAGGCGGGCCGCCTGGCTCAGACTTACTGGCCGCACCTAACTGAAGTGACAACTGTAACAAGAGCCAGGGCCCGGGGCCCTAAAACACTACCCACTCCCAGGCTCCGTAACTCTTTGACCCGCCCCGGATGCTGGAACAGCACCTGCGGCAGCCTGCGCAGACCTTCCGGTCCCAGAAATAACCCGCTTCCGGTCGAGCGTTTGCTCTACCCAGCCCTAACCGCGGTGCCTAGCGCCCTCCCATTGGCTGTTTGGAGCTGAACTACATTTCCCAGCAGGACCTGGAGTCAGCCCGTACCTGGATAGGTGCCAGCCGGTCGTGGCTGACTGGAGCCAGCCCTCTGCTTCCTGTCTTCCAGGTAGAGCCACAGAGAGAACGGTTGCCTCCAGTCTGGCCTCTCTTTGGTCCTGACAGTTCCGCCGGTCGGTCTCAAGCCTTGCTTCAACTACACACTGCCCGCTCCTAACAGGGAGACCCTGTTATCGCACCGGAAACGAGTCACCGGGTGTGACGTCACAGGCGTCGAGGTGCCGGGCCTCCCAGAAGACACCGCGTCCCTGCCGTCATCCCTAACTGACGGCTAGGCCTACCAATAGTGTCCGGCGGCCTGTGAGGACACTCCCAAGGGCGAGGGGAGGGTTCGGCCTCTCGCGCCTAGTTTCCCGGTCTCTCCCGGAGCCTGGGTCTCTGGGTCGTTCTCCGTGAGCGCCCTGAGTGGCAGAGCCTGAGAAAGGTAAGGTCCTCCGTAAAGGCGGGAACCAGGCATGAGGCGGTCTCTGGGGCCTCTCTGGGGAGAGGAGCGTGGTCCTGTTGTTCGAGGAGCCTGGCCGGATAGGGAGCTGGGAGCAAGCCCCAGGCAACGCCCAGTTTGAGCTCTTCGCTGAAGGTGGCCCTTGACCGGTGGGAGAGGTTCTGAGTGCCAGGACCTGTAGGCCCTACTGGGCTGTCCCCTGCCGCTTTCGCCACAGTTTTCTCAGTGTAAAAGAGTGAGCGGGCCGTGTGTGGACACTTAATACGATCTTGAGTTTGCTCCTTGAGCCATCAACTGTCCCCCGAGGGGACAGATTCAGTGGCTAAGCTGACTAATGCCGTTGGTATTGGTCCCCAAATTTTCTGTCTTTTAGCTCATTGCTCTACCAGCATGAGTTAAACAGGTCTTCCCAGTGGAGTTTGCACTTTGTATTTCCTAGGAGAATGGCCCTTGATCTTTTGCCGGTTGCCTTTGCTCCCTTCCATTTGGTCCTTGCGGTTTGGACAACCTTTGGCTCTCATTCTCAGGATCTTCTTTCAGGCCTTGCTAAGATTATTCATTTCAGTTATGAGTTCCCTACCCCAGCTTATGTTTGCTTTCTGACTTGGAACTCATGTAGTCTAACTAACCAAGCTACATTTTGGTGTGTAGGCATGTCCTGCTTGATTTTGTGGGTAACGCATTATTCTCTTCTCTGCAGCTTTCTGACAGATTTCCTTCAGCAAGAGGTGGCTTTTGAAACTGCAGAAACGAGTGTGGTGTGTGATTTAAAGGCACAATGGCTGCGAAAGTGTTTCCTATGCCCCCAAGGCCAAAGCAGTCTTTTATACTGAGAGTTCCTCCAAACTCCAAGCTAGGCCAAGACCTACTTCGAGATGCTAGTAGTGGGCCCAAGACCATCCACCAGCTGGTTCTGGAGCACTTCCTCACCTTTTTGCCCAAGCCAGGACTAGCCCAGCCCAGTCAGAAAGTCAAAGAGACCTTGGTTATTATGAAGGATGTGAGCTCAGACTTTCAGAACCGAGGTAAGAACACTTTCCAGTTTCATTAGAAGAAGCTGGTACTCGGGGCTGAGATAGGCTTCTGTGCTAGTAACAAATTCCAGTTAGGATGATGGGTATTGGGAAAAGGAGTTGATTCTAGTAAGTAAACATGTTGGGGAGAGAGTACTTTTTTTTTCTCAAGCTGGAGCTTGAGCGGTTTGCTGGGTGTGAGTAAGGCCTTAAAATAAAGAGTGTGTGTCTTTTCTTTAGTGTCAATTTTCCACAGACATTCTGGGGGTAGGGGATATTATTTTAGGATGAATATATGTGGGTGAATTATTGAATTGATCTCAGCTTTTGTGGCATTTTGGAAATGCTGTGCTTGCCGTGGGGATCATCATACTTTTACCTCCCCCCTACCTCCCCTTTAATAATTATGAGAATTTTCAAAGGTACTTAGGGAAACATTCTTTTCGTAGTGAGGAGACCTTATATAGATTCAAGACATTTTGGTTTATGGCTTGATCTCTAACTGGGCTCATAGGAGCAGAAAAAGCCACAAGGTGCCTGCTGAAGGAGTGAGGGCAACCTGGCTTCAGGGTATGGGTAGAGTCTCCATATTAGAGTCACTGATTTTTCCAGTAACTACAGCTTCCTCTTTCCCCAGTGCAACCTCTTCCCTTAGTGAAGCTTCTGACCAGAGAAGGAGTCCGGCAGAAACAGGAGACAGTATCTCTGTGTTTGAAAGCTGAGCCTAAGGTGGGGTTTGGTTTTCCCATTCACTGTTTGAGTGTATCACCTTCTGTGTGCTTGTTGTCCCTCCCTGTTTAGCCAATCTTTGCATAAAATCATACTCTTGGGAATCGGGAAAGAGAGTGGGGCTTGTGCTTCACTGCCTTATTAGATGTTTTTCTTCTGCTTTTCCTCTGAGCTTGGCTTCTATATCATCCTGGCTTTCCTGTCTGGCTGCGTCTGTGTGGGACTTATAGATTCCTTTTACCATTCCTTCCTTCATCTTTGAGTCTCAGTCTTATCAGCAGGGCTGTCAAAGAAATTTTGTTACTAAGAGGAAGAGGGGCCTGTTAATCTTTCAGGAGCTGGTGGTCTTTGAGGATTTGAATATATTTTACTCCCAAGAAGAATGTGTGAGCCTGGATCCTACTCAACAGCCCACTTCAGAGAAGGAAGAAGACAGTGTTGGGGAGATGATGTTAATGGGTAAGGAATTAAGTCTCTTGTGTGTTCAGATTGAAAGTTATGGGAAAAGCATGTTTTACTACTTCATCTCAGACTCTTTTGAGACAACCATTCACAGCTAAGCACATGTTTACACGTTTAATTTTTGTTTTATCCTATATAGCAGAGCCTTCTCCATCTGTGGGTGACCATTTTCCCTGTATCTTGGGGCAGCAAGGGTGGAGGGAATTTCTCTTGGTATGCAAGAACTACGGCCTAATATCAAGCATTCAAACAGATAGAAAATACAGGCAGACTATATCTGAATCCATTTTCTGGATCCAGTACTATTCTCCCAATAGGTATATTTTAAATTAGTGTTTTTATTGGACACATGACAAATTGTCTTTTTTTTCCCTTGATGTTCAATAGCTGTGAAGCCTGCTAGTATAAATGAAAATATATCCAACTATTGATGGACATAACATCTAGCACTTATTAAGCACTTGTATACCATTGTGTGCCAAACACTAAGTCTAAGTACTTTGCATGCATTTATAATCTCATAATTCTCACAATTGTACTTTGGGGTATAGGAGTTGTTACTATTTTATGGATGATGAAACTATAGCAGAGAAAAATTAAGGTATTTGCTAAAGAGCAGGGATTAGGACTCTGGGAATCTAACATCACATCTTATAGTCTTGGCTTAGATTTGTCCTGCCTCCTTGCTGAATTTGTCATAATTTTGTCAGTGAATTTTCTATATGGTTGATGAAGGGAGGAGCCTTCATTTGTACTTATTTCCCAGTATGGTTAACAAGTATCCTCAGTGCTGCGTATGAACTCATCTGGCAGCAGCTTAATCTCAGAGATGCTTCAGCTTTTCTCCAGAAGTACACTGTTACTGTAGAGTTGGGAGCCTTCAGAAATTGTTTTGATGAGTGTCTAATACTTTTTACCTTGGTTGCAAGGCTGTTTGCTTCTGTGGCAGGCTTTGAGGAGAAAGTGGGCTTTGTGAATTGCCTGGGGTGACAAAAATCTATGACTGTTGAACTCTGTAGTTTTCTCACACAGTATGGTGGTCAGGATAGTGCTACTTAATGGGCCAGGTTAATTTCCCACAGTTGTCCTTTATATTTTCTTTATTTTAAAGAAAAGGGTAAAGAGATAAGATTTATTGCACAAGTTTTGCCTGAGTATTGGGCAAAGCTAGATTTATTTTGGGTGACTGGTTAGTGGGTATGTTGCCAGCACCACAAACACTTTGACCATGAATCTTGAGACCTGGAGACCTAAAGCTCACTCTCCCTTTCCTCACTCATACCCTGAAACTGATGAGTTAGAGTCAAACAAGAAATAGCAAAGATATGCGCATGATTTTTAAAAGCACTAAGAGTCATTCACCAATACTTAGTAAAACCACCTCTTTTTCTTATGCAAGGTTGGGTTCTGGTGTTGATTAAAAAGATACATATTGCTCTATTCCTGCCCTCTAGGTGTTTATGGTTTGTTTTGTAAGATAAGTCATTCACATAAAAAGATTAGCAGTGTGAAACTGTTATGAAGATATATGATAAGGTTGAGGCAGGATTTGGACCAAGAATACAAAGTTTGGAAGAAATTGGGTTTTATTTCCATAGCAGGAAGTAAAATGAGATTATCCTCTGGGCACTTGGACATTGAGGATTGGAAGTCAGGTATAAGGACATAGAGATTTGAGAGTCATCAGTATACAGCTGATGCTGAAATAGTAATGCTTGGTCAGTTTGCAAAGGGAAAAATGTAAGTGAATGAACCTCGTGGGGACAGAAATCAAAAAAGAGCTCTTGTTAGAGGACAGAATATGTGTCTCTGTTCAAGAGATGTAGAAATGTAGAACACTTAAATTCTCAATGAGATGGTTCTTATGGTTTTATCTACCTCTGCTGTGGTGAGACAATATATCTTTACAAGATTGATGCACATCAATCATATGCCTTACAACAAAGAAAGACTCAGTGGATTCCAAAGAATAGAAATAATAGAATAGATAGATTTATCTAGTACAGCTAAAAGTTAATAATAAAATGGGGGGGGGGGGCGGGGAGTCCTAACTGGAAAATTTAAAAACAAGTAAGTTTGAGTCAAAGGGGAAATACAAATTAAAATTACACAATTTTTCCAAAAACACTATGTATCACAATCTATGTTATAACCTAAAGTGATACTCAAAGACAGTTTATGGCTGTAAAACATGTATGTTAACATAGAAAAATGAAATTAAGCTTCTAACTCCAAGTTAGGAAAACGAGATAAAGGAAAAGAAAGTATTAATATTAAATTAGAAAAATTAATAAGTTAAAAGAGGAACTAATAAATAGATTTAAAAACAAACCAATTTCTACTGATCAAATTGAAATATTCAAAAACTAGCTCCCCATTCAAGAAAAAGGATCAACCTCAGCTTCACAGAAAATTCTTGTAAATCCTTAAAAACTAGACAATTCAAATGCTGTGAAAAATTTCAGAGTACAAAAATAAAGAACTTCCAAATTGTTTAATGAAATTAGTGTTACAAAGATGCACAACCTGATAAAAATGTGACCAAAGAAGATTTATTCCAGAAATTAAAAATTGATCTAATATTAGAAAATCTGTTAATAAAATCTATTGTATAATAAAAATCAATATCTAAGATCACTTTCATAGTTGCTGAAAAGATATTTGACAAAATACAAACCCCTTCTTCATAAGAACACTGAACAAAACAGTAATTAGAGAATACTTCCTTAATGGGGTACTTATATTTTCAGTCAGCATCATCTTTTTTTTTTCTTTTATCAATTCCAGAGAGAGGGGAAAGGAGGGAGGAGGAGGAAGAAAAACATCAATGTGAGAGAGAAACATCAATTGGTTGCCTCTTGCATGCGCCCTGACTGGGAATTGAACACACAACCTTTCAGTTTGCAGGACGACACCCAACCAGCTGAGGCAAACCAGCCATGGCTGTCACCAGCATCATCAGGGGAAATACTGTGAGGCATTCCCACTAAAATTAGAAGTATAACGATAAAGCCCACTATCATAACTTCAATGTTTAATATTGTATTTTGGGTATTAGCCAGTACAGTTAAATGAAAAATAAATTAGATGTATAAGAATTTAAGAGAAAGGAAAAACTACATCTACTTACATATGACGTAATTGTATAGCTGGAAAAACAAAGAATATCTGGAAACTTACTACAAATAATAAGCATTTAGTATGGCAGTGGGATGTAAAATACTACAGTATATGAGTACTCTGGTTTCTTTTCAGATCATATAAATCTTTCACCTTTTACAGTATACGGAAATAATTAGCTTTCATATATGCAAACAATCATTTAGAATATATAGGAACAAAAAAGATTAAACACCTAGAAATAAACTTAAGAAATGTGCAGAAATTATGAGGAAAACCTTAAAATACTTCTGAAGAACACAGAAGTAGACTTGAATGAATGAAAAGAAACACCATGTTCTTGGCTAGGGAGATTTAAAATAACAAGGTCAGGCCCTGGTTGGTGTAGCTCAGTAGACTGAGCATGGACTGGGAACCAAAGGGTTTCCAGTTTGATTCCCCGTCAGGGCACATGCCTGGGTTGCAGGGCAGGTCCCCAGTAGGGGACATGTGAGAGGCAACCACACATTGATGTTTCTTTTCCTCCATTTCCCTCTCTCTTAAATAAATAAAATGTTTTTTGTTTTTTTTTTTTTAAGTTGGTTCTCACCCTGGCTGGCATAGCTCAGTGGATTGAGCACAGGCTGCAAACCAAAGTGTCACAGGTTCGATTCCCAGTCAAGGTACATGCCTGGGTTGCAGGCCATGACCCCCCAGCAATCACACATTGTTGTTTCTCTCTCTCTCTCTACCTCCCTTCCCTCTCAAAAATAAATAAATAAAATCTTTTTTAAAAATCCTAACCTGAGGACATGTTTAAAAAAAAAAAGTCAGTTCTCCCCAAGTTGATTCATGAATTCAATGTAATCTCTTCAATAATACCAATAGTATTTCCCCCTCCCCCCCCCGAATCAGACAATCTGATACTAAATTTAAATGGAAAAAATAAATACAAGTAACCAGGAAAGTTGAAAAGAAGAGCAGTGAGTTGGGAAGGGTTCTAGCCCTGTCAGGTGTTAAAGCAGCCTCTAAACTTAAACCCTGTGTAATAAAAATAGTATAGTATTGACATTTGACTAGAGAGATGAGTGGAGTGGAATAAAGGGTTCAGAAATATCCTCAAATACACTGGGGATATAGTTTGTGATAAAGGCAGAATCTTCAGACAGCAAGGTAAAGAGGGACTTTTTGATAAAAGGTCGTGGCACAACTTAGTGGTTTGGTGAAGCATACATTACTTTGCACACCAAGAAAAAGTCCAAATAGATAGCAGATACTAAGTGTTTAAAAGAAAACCTTAAAAGCATAATTAGAGAACATGGATGAATTCCTTAAAGATTAATAAATTAAATACATAAATAAATATGTTAAAACAATAAATTGGGGGGTATTTATAACTTACAATAGACAAAAGCCTACTCTTCCTAATGCATAAAGAACTTTTAGAAGAATAGAAAGCCCAAAAGATTTACTTAGAAATACAAATTACTCTTAACAGCATGAAAATATGTCTAGCCCTAATCATAATTAGAAATTCAAATTAAACCTCTACTGAATTACCATTTTTTTTAAAGATTTTATTTATTTATTTTTAGGGAGGGAGAAGGAGAGGGAGAGAAACAGTAATGTGTGGTTGCCTCTCACATGTCCCCTACTGGGGACCTGGCCTGCAACCCAGGCATATGCGCCCTCACTGGGAATCAAACTAGGGACCCTTTGGTTTGCAGGCCAGTACTCAGTCCACTAAGCCACACCAGCCAGGGCTAAGTTACCATTTTTTAAAATCATATATGCATAAATCAGTACAGTAACAACAACTTGGTAGTGAAGTTACTGGGAGATGCCTATATTGCTAGTAGGCATGCAGAATAGTACAGTCCCCATGTATGGGAATCTGTAATTACTCATATTACAGATTCATTAGCCCTTTGATCCAGAAATCCTACTTTTGGGAATCTGACCTACAGGCAATAGGAACAGCACAAACTCAAAATAATGTACAAACAGTTACTCATTGTAGGACTGCTTATGAAAACACAGAATTGAAAACAATTCAGGTGTCTCTGTAGGTTTGAATATGGTATGTCCATACATCATGCCAGGATAATCTCTATGCACTGGCATATAGTGATTGAAATAAAACAAGCAGAAATATATATAGTATATTACCTTTCATATAAGAAAGGCAGAGAAAAAGAAAATGTATTGCCTAAAGAAACAATGGAATACTAAAAAGAAACTAATAAAAATTGGTGCCTGTCTTGGGGATGAATAGAATGGATAGGCACAGTGATTGGATTAGTACTTCTCATTGCATACTTTTTCATATGTTTTGATTTTTGAGCATTGAAATGTATTAGCTATTAAAATTTTTATTTTTAAAAGTTAATACATTAAAGAAAAATCATACAAATTTCAGTAAATTGCCCTTAAAACAGATATTTAGCCCTTTAATATAACTGAACACTTATGATCATTCATAAAGCACTGATGGTAATACGTTAAAACTGAGAGCAAAATAAAGATACTTGCTATCACTATTAATACCATTTTCTAGGTTTTCTAAAACAAGAAGATAAGAAAAAGGAATTGAGAAGAAAAAATATTGTAGCCTTGACCAGTGTGGCTCAGTTAGTTGGGTGTCACACTGCAAAATGAAAGGTCACCAGTTTGGTCCCTGATTGGGGTGTGTACGAGAAGCAACCAATGGACGTTTCTCTCTCCCATACATGTTTCTCTCCCTTTCTTTCTCCCTTCCTTCTCCTTTCTCTAAAAGTAAGTAAAACCTTTTTAAAAAGAAGAAAAAAATATTGGAAAGGGAGGGAACCCTTTTTATACTTAGTACAAACCTTGATTTGCACTTAGAAAATCTGAAAGGATCAGCTAAAAATTACATTTGATAGTTTCCAAGTAAGTAGATAGTAGATGAACATATGGCTATCGATAACATTCTTAAATAAAACAATGAAAGCTATCTATTCAGAGTGTGTATAAAATAGAAATAAACTAGAGATGTTTATTGGTAAATGTAAGATTGTTAAATATTGGAGAGACATGGGTCTAAATGGGAAAACCAAAATCATGTAAAGATAACTGCCCTCCAAATTTGTCTATACTGTATTTAGAGTCAGAGTCAAAGTTTTTAAAAAGGTAGAAGAGGATGTTCTTGCTGCTTTTACCAATATTAGACATGTTACAAACAAAAGTGTGATATTAAATTCCAAATGGGGGTATTTGTGGTGGATCTGTGGAGTCACAGATCCTGCCAGAAGTGCCAAGGCAATGGGGACTGGGAACAAGTATGACTACCAATTCGAAATAATGCTTATCTGGGACTCAGGTGTGGAAAAGAGTGACCTACTGTCCTTCTTAACCCACAAGAAGCTCAGCCTGGAGAGCATAAACACCATTGGCATGGAGTTCACCACCCACAGCATTTAGGTGGATGACAAGATGGTCAAAGGGCAGATCTGGAACACTGCCAGCCAGGAGCATAACTGTGCCATCACCTCTGCTTACTACCATGGCCCATTGGGTGTGCTGCTGGTATATGACATCACCAAGCACATGACAGGAGAGTGTGGAGCATTGGCTAAAGGAGCTGTGGGACCATGCTGACAGCAACAATGCTGTCTTGTTGGTGGGCAACAAGAGCAACCTGCACCACCTGTGGCCTGTGCCTACTGACGAGGCTTGTGCCTTCACAGAGAATAACTTGTTCTTTATGGAGACCTCAGTCTTGGACCCCATTAACATAGAGAAGGCTTTCAGGAACATCCTCACAGAGATCTACCACACCATGTCATAGAAACAGATTGCAGACTGTAGTGCCCACTACCAACAGACAGAAACCAAACAGTCTGCAGTACTGCCTGAACCTATAACTATCCGTACCTCGTCCAGGTGTGTGTGCACATCTTCATTGTTTTCTTACCCCTCACCATGATATCCTCCATGACCCAACCTTCTCTGTCCCTCTGACTGGTTCCCACCCTTCCGTTGAGTTCTGCACAGACAGCTGAGGCTTAGGAAGAACAGAAGTAAAGCAGTATCACCTGTACTCCCCTTACCAGGAAAGTTCAAAGCCCTGCTGCTACACTGCCCTTGGGTTCCAGTGGGCCTCTGGCCAGGGGACAGGGAGGGTGGCAGGATGGGCAGGGACAGCCAGAGGCAAAAGGATGGGCACATCTAGCAAGCCTCTTCAGTTTTCCACAGCAGACTACAAGGAGCGATTACCTCCCTCCCTCTCTGGCAAGTTGTCCCAGCTGGCCCTGGTCCCTACCTAGAACTCCCACCTGGGCTCAAGCCTAAAAAGCAGGTAACACGGGGCAGGGCAGACAAAGGCTCCTAGCACCCTACTCCTCATGCACAGCCAGCATTGTCACACTTGGCTTCTCCTAAGCATGCATGAGTCCGGCTCCTGCCTGTAGATTTATTCTGGAGAAAACAACCCCCTTCCTTTCTGTATTCAGTATACTCCACACCTCTTCCTATGCTTTTTTCTCTGGTCAAGAACATGTTTGCAAGTGAAACAATATCTCGGTGTTTTCTATTATGTGATCTTGTAGTGTTTGTTTTTTTGTCATTGTAGAGAAACAAATTCTTCATACATTGATTAAAAAAAAACCTCCAAATGTGTGAATTAACTATAAAAAGAAGTCATTTAAAATGGCCAGAAAACACAATAGAAATTGATCAGATTTCAAAAAAGTGGTATTTTTTCTCATTTTAAGTTGTGGAGTTTAATTATAAAAGACTTTGATTAAAAAATATTTCATCAGTAATGATTGACAAAGATTTAGAATTTGTAATATATAAATTTTTTTAATTTATAAAGTTTCAGTCCAATAGTTTGCGATAAAGTGCAAAATAGAGCTACAATGAAAAATCATTTTATACCTATTAAATATTTTTAAATGATTTTTAATGCTGGCAAGATTTGCTAAAATCATTACCCCATGTAGATGGTTTTATTGAAATTGGTATAGCTTCTTTGGAAAGCATTATGGCAGTTCATATTAAGAGTTATGATGAAAATTGGCATAAGCTTTGACCCAGCATTTTCATTATTCTAAGGGAATAATTTTAAAAATAAATAGAAAACGTCTATTAGTGTGAAACTACTAAATTCAGCAGAGATTCACATTCCAGCTTCAGGATGAGCCACATTCCTAAGTGGCTGATACAACCCTTTATTTTTAGTAAGTTGCCCAAAGTTTAGGTGTCCTGCCTGTTTACAGCATGCTTTTTTCCCCACGTTGTTACCTAGTCTTTATCATCTTATTTTATACATTTTGGGATGATGTATAATATAAATACAGAAAAATGTACAAATTTTAAGTGTAAAACTCAGATTTTCACAAAATGTACACATTTGTGAAACTACCACCCAAAATTAACTATTCCTAGCACCACAGAAATTCCTCTTGTGGCCCCTGCCCAGTTACTATTTCCCTTCCTACCCTCAAAAGACCACTACTGACTTCTACCATAGTTTTGTTGTATTGGTTGTAGTGATTACTTCAATGCTCAAATAATAATGTGTGTGAATAAGTTACATCTTTACTATTTTAGGGCTTTTTAATTGTTTGTAGTTTTTCACTGTATATAGGATAATATTGTGTAATACTATAATATTGCAATATTTAATGTAGTGAGAGCCTAAAAGTAACTCATCATTCACTAACTAGTCTAAAGATTATGAGTATTACCCTTTTGTATTTATGTCCTTCATGCCCTGGTACTTAGCTCAGTGCTCCACACAGAATATAAGCTCAATGTGAACTTAATGAATAAACAAACATATGAAGTCTTTCAATATGGCCTCAGACATTTCTTTTTTTTTTTTTCATGTGCTTGCATTGTGGGGTATGGAAAGATTTATTAGTGATGTATCCCCCAGTAAGAGTAGAAAAGGAATGGTGGTGGTGATGATCTGCCAGTTTTCAGATTTATGATTTCCAAGGTTATTTCATGAGAAATCAGACTCATTTTTTACCCTCCTGGTGTCATATCTCTCAAAAGTTATTAAATTCTTTTTTTTTTTCCAACAGTTGATGATGACAATAATCCTGAAAATGAAGATCATAGAGAAAAGTCTTCAGATTGTGATGAAATTGATTATTCCATGGTCTCTGAGCAACCTCCAGATTGCCATAAAGAAAAAAGACTAAATACATCCATTCCAAATGAAAGGAAAATGAGAAATCTTTTAGTTACCATTGAAAACGATACTCCACTAGAGGAACTCTCAAAATTTGTGGATATCAGTATTATTGAACTTACCCGAAATCGGAGAACAAGAAGATGGTACACTTGTCCACTGTGTGGGAAACAGTTTAATGAGAGTTCTTACCTCATTTCCCACCAGAGGACTCACACTGGAGAAAAACCTTATGACTGTAGTCACTGTGGGAAAAGCTTCAATCATAAAACCAACCTTAATAAACATGAGCGTATCCATACAGGAGAGAAACCTTATTCATGTTCAAAGTGTGGGAAAAATTTTCGTCAAAATTCTCATCGTAGTCGCCATGAAGGAATCCATATAAGGAAGAATCTATTTAAGTGTCCAGAATGTGGGAAAACCTTCCCAGAGAACAAAGAATTTGTGCTTCATCTGCAGAGTCATGTGGCTGAGAGGCCATATGATTGCAAAAAATGTGGGAGAAGATTTGGTCGGCTGTCAAACTGCACTCGCCATGAAAAAACCCACTCAGCATGTAAGACCCGAAAGCAGAAGTGGGATCGGGAAAGGTCATATGGTCCTGTCTCAACTTGAAATAGTTCATAAGGAATTCTGAGTTTTCAGGCTGTCTGAAAAGAAACATATGTGAAAACTTCATAGTAGCCCAAACTGGATAAATATGCATCTTGCCTGAAGCCTCAGATTTTTAGGAAATTCGCAGGGAAAAAAATATCCTCAAAGTCTATACCTCAGTTAGCATCCAGGCTTTTTGGACTAAGGAGCTTGCCTTTGTGAATTTATACAACAATGTACATACAGGTCACAGATCCCTTTCCCAAGAAAGGCTTCAACTATGAGTCTGCAAAGTGAACAGAGTAACTTGTGTACTGAAAGTATATCCATTTTCCTGCCACATAGGGATTCACACTTAAGAAAAGATAAATAATGCAAAGTCTTTTTCTGGACTGGTATGCTCCTGAAAGACCCAAACTACTGATTTGTTAAACCAACAGCTTCTATTAATGTGTTAACCCTCTAAGAACACTCTGTTAAAACTTGAGTATTGAAAGGGATTGTTTGCTTTGGAATATAGGAAAATATAGTAATTGAATATCAAAGGCTTACTCTGTTATTTGTAATCTAAACTATCAATTTCAATAACATTTGCAACTTGTGAAAAGTGACTTAACAAAAATCCTTTGCACAACATAATTTTAAAATGTCTACATTCTTACTATTTCTTGTTCAGCTAGTAATTGCTTAAACAGTTCTCTGATGCCTTTCCCTTGCCACGAAAGAAGCTTAGATTGCTCAGGTCCAGCCACCCATCCCCGCTACTGAAAAAGCTCTCAGAATTGTGTCCCTCTGCTGAGCCAAGAAGACTTACTAGGAAGAAAACCCCCAAGAGCCAGAAAAGGAGGAGGAGCACATTGGCTTGGAACTATGGTTGCTCAGTATCTTCACCATAAGCTTAATTCCTCTCTAAGCAGTTGTTAGACCTTTGGCAATGGGTGGTCGCTACCTCACAAGCAAAGTGTTTTATTTTTAGAAATTGTTTTCAGTGACTAGCTCACGCTGCCCCTCAAGAAACAGGATCCCAATGTCTTCATTGTAGTAGATATTTGTTCTTTGGCCTCCTGATAACTAGACTTTCCTGACCTGTCTTCCCAGAGGCAAGGTCAGTGGTATCTTCCTGGGACCAATCCTACGGTATGTGAGTTTAAGGATTGTTGATCAGTTTTATACTTCCTAGGTTTCCCAAGTTTTTACATTGGTATTTTGATTGGAATAAGTTGGCCCTCTAAACTATTTGAAAAAAACTTGTTAACTTTACAAATTTTGTCTCCCGTTCAGAACCATGCCTTTTCATTTATTAATTCCTGAGTAAAGTTTTCTCATTTTTAATTGTAAATAGTTTTTATTATATTTTTATAGTTATTGCTCATATAGGAAAGTTATTTTAATTATGTATTTGTGAAACTAGCCACCTCACTGAATGTTAATTTTCAATAATTTCAGTTTATTGTAATTTGTGGTTGAAAATTATACTGTCTAAAAAATTATACCTTCTTCAAATAATAGTTTTGTTACTTTTTGCCTATTTTTTATTTTAAAGACAGGTTACTCTAAGCTTTGTTTTGGTACAAAACATTTTCTGATACAGTACAGTCCTGACTTCTAATTTAAAAACAATAACAAAAACCAATACTTAAAGATACAGAAAAATTGTCCTTTATCAACTTTGTATTTCAAGCCTACAGTGCCCTTTAAAACCAGGGACAAAACTGGCTGCCAACATTATTCTTATTCCTCCAGAAGTCTTGTCAGGGTCCACCAGTTATTGCACAGAAGACTAGCCCTCACACCTAGAGTACTTAAAGGCTGTGTGCTGTGGGGCAGTGACTGGATAAGGTGGGGTCCCTGGTGTGAGGTGGTCCTGGCCCCTGCCCAAGGGTCAGGCCACTTGGTCCTCAAGGCCTGTGGGTGGGTGATGTTCCCATGACCTAAAGAACCTCTGCATCTGGGAGGTTCCCTCTTTGCTGGGCCTCAGTATGCACAAGGGCCAGTGCAGTCAAGGTCATGGATGCCTACTGTTCTGGAGGGCAGTGCCTGGGCCAGGCTGCCTTTTCCCATGCCTTCACCCTCTCCTAGGAGCACAGGGCCAGGATGCTGCCAAATGCAGAAAGCACCAGAAAGCACTTAGATGTGTCCCCCTGATGTAAGTTCCTGAACCAGAGCCACAGGTGGGTAAGAGAAGAAAAGCAAAGTCCGAGTGGCGCCTGAGTCCCCCTTCTGCAACAGGACTCTTGCCTGACAGGAACTTGGGAGCAGGAGGCTGATGGAATCACAGGGCTTTCTTGCCACTGCGGAGCCATAACAATTTATTTTCCCCACCATTGTTTTGAGATTGTTAGCTATGAAAGAGCAAAGGTTTTTGTCACATTCTGTTATTTTTGGTGGCACTGAGCTCAGTGTTTCAGCATGAGAGATAGAAGATATGAATGTATTATCAAAGAGGTTAGAAGAAAACACTTTAGTCCTAAATTTGAATTGGAAATATCAGTATGAACTCATGGTATATTTCTATTTTAAGAAAATGTTTCCTAACCACTGGAAGAGGCAGGGAAACATGATTAGCTCATTAGTAATGAGCGTCATTTCCTGCTAAAAGGAAGAGGAAACAGAGAATTGGCCAATTCTAGGGAAGCAGAAAAACAAAAACCCACAATGAGTCTAGAACACCTTTTCTTACCAGATAACAAGGATGCTGTCAAAAGACTACCCAAATTCTGTCAAAAGAAATCAGAAGCAACTTAGGTTCCTGCTGGCCATAGAAGATAATCTGAGAATCAATAAGCATAATAAATGCAATTATTGAAAAATACCAAATATGCTTACATCTTTGAGCTTATATTTAAATATAAGTATTATATTTAAAAATGAAAAATAGACCTGTCATACAGTCCAGCAATTCCACTTCTGAGTATTTGAAGAAAACAAAAACACTAATTCAAAAAAGATATGCACACCTATGTTCATTATAGCATTACTATTAATAGCTAAGATATGGAAGCAACCCAGATGCCCATCAATAGATGAATGGATAAAGCAGGTGTATATATGTGCAATGGAATATTATTCACCAACAAAAAGAATGAAATCTTGCCATTTGTGATGAGTGTATTATAAACCTAGAATGTATTGTGTTAAGTGAAATAAGTCAAAGAAAAAAACATACAATTTCACTCATATGTGGGATCTAAAAAATTAAATGAAACAAAATAGAAACAAACCCATAAATATAGAGAACAAGCTAATGGTTGTCAAAGGAGGGATGGGTGGGGTATAGAAATTTAAAACAAACTACTTGGTCATCAATGGAGTGTTAATATCGAACCAGCTCATTTTTTTTTAAGATTTTATTTACTTTTAGAGAAGAGAAGGGAGGAAGAAAGGGAGAGAAACATCAATGTGTGGTTTCCTCTCATGCGCCCCCTACTGGAGTCCTGGCCCACAACCCAGGCATGTGCCCTGACTGGGAATCAAACCAGCAACCCTTTCTTCACAGGCTGGCATTCAATCCACTGAGCCACACCAGCCAGAGCCAGCTCATTCTTTGGAACACTTATAAACAAAGGAAATAGTCTAGCATTTATACTTTCATTTTTATAGAAATGTTTGGGGAACAAAATAGCAAGTGAGAGGAAGTTTCTCTTTATAAAAATATTCTAGTGAATGAAAAAAATAATAATACAATGAAAAATATTCACAATTTTACAACCTGTAATGACTTCATGGATCTTAACATTGAGTACCAATGCCTGCCTGTTAACATCAGAAGAAAAAAAAAAAAAGACAACCAGACATGCCATTTTATTGAAGAACACACCACCACTATTATGTAGTCTTGCTAAAAAGTTGAACTTGAATCTGACCAAGCCTCTAGATCCAGATACCATTTTTTTTATTTTTTACTTTTTTATTTTAATAGTTGTTCAAGTACAGTTTTCTACCCTTTACCCCCATCCCAGCCTACCCTCCCAGCCCTTCCCACCTCCCTCCCATCTCCAACCCGCTTCTTATTGTCCATGTGTCCTTTATACTAGTTCCTTCAAACCCTTCCCCCCTTTTCCTGAAATTCCCTCCCCTGTCCTCTCTGGTCACTGTCAGCCTGTTCTAAATTCCAGTGTCTTTGGCTATAGTTTGCTTGTTTGTTTGATTTGTTGACTAGATTCCTGTCGTAATGGAATTCTATGCAGCAGAAAGAAAGAAGGAGCTCCTATCCTTTGTGACAGCATGGATGGAACTGGAGAGCATTATGCTAAGTGAAATAAGCCAGGCAGTCAAAGACAAATACCATATGATCACACCTTTAACAGGAACCTAATCAACAAAACAAACAAGCAAAATATAACCAAAGAACTGAAATAGAGAACAGGTTGACAGTGACCAGGGGGACAAGGGAGGGAATTTCAGGGGAAAGGGGGAAGGGTTTGCAGGAACAAGTATAAAGGACACATGGACAAAAACAAGGGGAGGGTGGAAATGGAAGAGAGGTGGGGAGGGCTGGGGGGTGGGCTGGGATGGGAGTAAAAGGCAGAAGACTGTATTGAACAATTAAAACTAATTAATTAATTAAATAAAATAATTTTACAAAAGAAGCAAGAAATAAACATTCAACCAGAACAGAATGAAAAAACAAGAATTCAAAAAAAAATGAGGAGAGGCTTAGGACCCTCTGGGACAACTTGGACCATTCCAACATCCAAATCATAGGGCTGCCAGAAGGAGAAGAGGAAGAGCAAGAAATTGAAAACGTATTTGAAAACATAATGAAGGAGAACTTCCCCAATATGGCAAAGGAAATAGACTTCCAGGAAGTCCAGGAAGCTCAGAGAATCCCAAAGAAGTTGGACCCAAGGAAGCACACACCAAGGCACATCATAATTATACTACCCAAGATTAAAGATTAGGAGAGAATCTTAAAAGCAGCAAGAGAAAAGGAGACAGTAACCTACAAAGGAGTTCCCAAAGACTATCAGTTGATTTCTCAAAAGAAACCTCACAGGCAAGAAGGGGCTGGAGAGAAGTATTCAAAGTGTTGAAAGGCAAGGACCTACATCCAAGATGACTCTTTTGAGCAAAGGTATCATTTAGAATGGAAAGGCAGATAAAGTGCTTCCCAAGCTAAGGGAGTCAAGTTAAAGGAGTTCATCCTCACCAAGCCCTTATTATATGAAATGTTAAAGGGACTTATCCAAGAAAAAGAAGATAAAAAATATGAACAGTAAAATGACAACAAACTCACAACTATCAACAACTGAACCTAAAAAACAAAAAAACAAATACAAACTAAGCAAACAACTAGAACAGGAACCGAACCACATAAATGGATATCCCATGGAAGGTTATCAGTGGGGAGGTGGAATGGGAATGGGGGGAAAAGTACAGAGAATAAGTAGCATAAATGGTAGGTACAAAATAGACAGGGGGAAGTTAAGAATATATGGGAAATGTAGAACCTCAACATCTCCTTTAGGTTTACAGTATAGGCTACCGTCTGCAGAAACAAATACACATACCAACATTACCTTCTAGACCAGAAAACGTGGGAAAC